AACAGCATTTGCATTTGTTTGCCTGTGGAGGTTTGGTATGCCTGTGTGGCAGTTGTTGTGCCTAGAGTGATGTCTAGTGAGGTGTTAAAGTCACCTCCAAGGATTAGAAGATCTTCCATGAATAGTTTGTTGAAAATTTTACGAAATGCAAGGCACTGTTTTTTTTTTGTGAAGGTTGATGTTGATGAAGGTGGCCATGGTGCTGTCGACAAGTCTGTTAACAAAGAGACATCTACCATTTTGTCAATATGGTTTCTATGGGTGAAGGGGACATTGGCCAAAAAAAGGATCGCTACACCTCAGGATTTAGATAGGGAGTAATTGCTAAAATACCCAATGGTGTAGTGTTTGCCCCTGCAAGTAGGTGCTGACTCCTTCCGAAATTGGGTCTCTTGAATAACGATCACCTCTGCTTTGAGACGGCAGAACTCAGATAGCACCATATGTCCCTTTTTGGTGGTGTTTAGACCATTCGCAATAAGCAAGATTATTTCTAAGGAGGCCATCGACAGGCAAAATAGATTTGAATTAATTGTCACAATCTACACAGGGTGGGCAGCTTATGCCAAAGTGGTGGTCAAATAATATTACAGAAGTAAATATAACAATAAATCAATACAACAAGAATAACTATATGTAGTACAAAAGCAATCAAATATATTTTTTTTTAGGATAAGAAGTTTATCGAAAAATGCTAGTGTTGATCCCTAATATTGACCAGAGTCTGCAGGGATGGGTTTGTGGTGTATACGGTGTAATTGTAGTGGATGGAACCAGGGGCGTACCTAGAGCATTTGGCACCCGGGGCAGGTCCTATTTTTGGCACTCCCCCACCCCCCTCAACTTTAAATGTAAAAAAACAACCACATTTTTTTTTTAATGTATTTAGCACCGAGCACTGTTTGTGCTGTTTGAATGTATGCTTGTTTTTGTATGGAGTATGTGTGAGTGAATGTAGGAGTGTGTTTGCATGTAGTGTTGGCGTTTGAATGCAAGCATGCATTTCTGTGTTGCGTGGTATTTGAATGCAGTGGTATGGTAATATATAATGGTGGGTTTTGTATGTAGTGTTGACGTTGAAATGCATGAGTTTATTTGTGTGTAGTGTTGGCGAGATTTGGAGATGTCTGCAAATATACACATACACGGACATACACACATGCAGATACATATACACACATGCAGATACACAGTCACACACAGATACACATTGACACACATGCAGACATCGTGGCGACTCTAAGAACAATATACATGGTGGGGGGGCACATAAGATACCACAGTCAAAACAGGGGGGGAGGGTGAGCAGTAAAACTTTTCACTAGGGGATTGGGTAATATGCTGCCATTGAAATAAGAATTTGTGTGTTTTAAAGGCGCTTTCAGTTAATAATTGAATAGAATGACAGCAGCTACCACACAAATAGGGGCTCTCTACCCTATAGATTAGTACAAAAAAGATTAGGTGTACACTCAGTATTGGAAATTAATGCTAAAAACCACCACTGGTGTGCATATGGAGCGCTTACAAATTTGTTGACTCACCCATATGGGTTAACATACATATGTATGGAAAACGTGACTCATAGCGATATATCTGAAACAAATGTAAATGCAAGAAATAGTGCAGATAACGTTTTCAATAAGTGCAGTGAGGGAATATTTTATATGGTCTCACTCACATGTAGCAGAGCCCTGTAGGATAGGCTCAGATCTCAATGGCCTGCGTATGCTTATGGTGACACAGTACCCAATCGGTCCTCTAGGCATCTGGAGATCCTTATGCATACATGAGAGAGAGAGAGGTATAGGGCTCACCTGATGTGGTGCCCTATACCTGGCTCCTGGTGTGTAGGTATCACCTACACACCTGGAGCCAGGTATAGGGCTCCACATCAGGTGAGAAGCCACTTTTTCTGCACTATTTGACACTGTACATTGGGATTGACCGCACTAGGGTTTCTCCTCTTCCCCTTGTTTTCTCTCTCTCATGTATGCATAAGGATCTCCAGACACCTAGAGGACCGATTGGGTACTGTGTCACCATAAGCACACGCAGGCCATTGAGATCTGAGCCTATCCTATAGGGCTCTGCACTATTTCTTGCATTTACATTTGTTTCAGATATATCGCTATGAGTCACATTTTCCATACATATGTATGTTAACCCATATGGGTGAGTCAACAAATTTGTAAGCGCTCCATATGCACACCAGTGGTGGTTTTTATCATTAATTTCCAATACTGAGTGTACACCTAATCTTTAATATGCTGCCATTGGCTGTTTGATGCCAGCATGCTGTATTCTGCATGCTGGCATCTGACTACACATTTGCATATAATTCACATTAGCCACCCAGATTTCTTGTTGTGGGCTGGCTGACACCAATTCAGGGATTTATCTACTAAACAGCTAAAGGATCAAGATTTAAAAAAAGCAATTTTCTTATTTTCTGTTGTTTAGTAGATAAATCCCTTAGTTGTTATTCTTATGTGGGACTGCAATATTGAACCCCTTAAGGACCAAACTTCTGGAATAAAAGGGAATCATGATATGTCACAGGCAGACAGTCAAGCACGCAGTCACAGGCAGACAGTCACACATACACAAATGCAGTCACAGACAGTCAAACACGCAGTTACAGGCAGACAGTCACATATACACACACACAGTCCCAGACAGACACACACACAATCACAGGCAGGCAGTCACACATACACAACACAGTCACAGACAGTCACACACACACACACACACAATCACAGGCAGACAGTTGCACACACACAATCACAGTCAGACAATCACACACACAGAGTCACACAGACAATCACAGGCAGACAGTCACACACACAAAGTGACACACACACAATCACAGGCAGAACATCACACAGGTAAACAGTCACACATACACACAACACAGTCACACACACACACACACACACACACATGCAGACAGTCACACACACACACACACACACAGTGACACACACAGTGACACACACACACACAGTCAAAGACAGTCACAATTACAGTTACACACAGCACACACTCTCTCTCACTTACAGTAAGCTTGGGCTGGAGGAGGAGCGGATTCATTCCCTCCTGTGCTGTTGTTGGGGAAGCAGGGACTTCTTCCTGCTTCCCCTCTGTGTGAGCAGTAAGAGGCTGCATTTAGCTCCACCCCCACATCCAGCTTGGCTCCGCCCCATGGTCGTTCTGGCTCCGCCCCATGGTCGTTCTGGCTCCGCCCCAAATCGCCATGCAGGTTTGTTGCTCCTGCTTCCAGCCCCTGCGTGTGTGAGCTGTGTCGGCTGCCTGGGGCCCCTGCTGCTATGGCACCCGGTGCAGCCACACAGCTCACAGAACCCCATGCCTGGCCAGCCCTGGTGGCATCCCCTACCTGATGGCACCCGGGGCGGACCACCCCCTCCGCCCCCCCCGGATGGAACAGAGTTGTGAACAGTGTTGTGTGTTTGGAGTTAAAGTGTGGAATAGAATGGATTGATGCAAGATTTCTTGGGAAAATGTGAATTTGTGATGGGTGCGTGCGGACTTGTAGGGGGAAATCTATGTAAGGATGAATTAGGGTGAGTGAGGTGAATGAAGGTGTTAGTGTGCATTCCTTGTGCATAATGCTCCCTGGACATTGTGGGGAGGGTGTTTTTTTCCATTTTTTTTTTGTGTACAAGATTTTGTTTTTATTAAGAGATTGGGCATAAGTGGGGATTGTCAGAGACCTCCCCTGTTTGTGTAAATCATCTGGTTACTCTTTAGGTAGAAATCTATAGAGGTCTAGTCTAGTGTGTAGTATGGGATGGTAAAGGAGGGATTCGGCCTATTAGTAAACATCATTGTGAAGGTGAAGGGTTGCAGATCTTGGTGGGTTGTTATGGAATGCATTGTATCTTTATATGATACTATCAAAGTGAATTGGAAGCCCCAGAAGTATTTTATGTTGTGGTTATATAGCTGCTCTGTGATAGGCTTAAGGTCCGGGTAGATTTGGATCTCATGCCCATGGAAAAGTAGTGGAGGGTTGTGGCATTACGGTTCGTAGGACATCCTCTTTGGACGAATGGTAATGTAGTCAGCATATTATATTGCGGGTTTGTATCCGCAGAAGATCTTCTGGATCGCAGAGAGTGGTGGGCTCTATCAAAGAGCATAAGAGTGTCTGCAGCCATCCCTATTATTAAGTTTAGGAACTCTGCGAAAAAGCTTGGCAGGTCTACCCTTGTGGTCTCTGGTAGGCCTCAGATCCAGAGGTTATTTCCACATCTCTGCCTACATCATCCAGGGAGCACTGCATGTGGGCTAGACATGCGGAGTGCAACTCAATTGTGGAGGTAAGTGATTGTAGCTGGATATAGAGGATATCTCTATAGTCCTCTAAATCTTGGATGCGGTGGCCCACCTGGCGGATGTCAAAGGCCAAACTGTCCAGCTTAATTTGGAAGGAGGATTAAAATTTGCTTAGTATCGCTGACAGACCTTTGCAAGATTGTAGATTTTGAAGTAGATCTTTGATCATAGCATGAGGGACCCCCGTGATGATAGCTTTAAGTTTAGTAAATAGGTTCAGAATATCAGCCTTGCTCATGGGTAAGTGTTCTGCTGCTGTAGTTGGGCCAAACAGATTGTCCATCAGTTCAGTATTAGTTACCACATTGTTGGAATCACTCTCCCCAGAAGTATAGTCAGAGAGTTTCTGTGCGGGTGCCATATCGTGTAAATCCCAGTTTTTTGTGTGTCTTTTCATGATATTTCCATTTGTACACATCTACTACACAGCAATGATGCAAGACTAGACTATTCGTTGAGCACTTTTCTTCCTGGCTTCCCCACTTCCTTTCATCTAGCACTCCTTCCCTTATACTTGGGGATTTCAATATCCCAATCAATAACCCCAATTGCACTGATGCCTCTCGTCTGCTTTCTGTAACCTCCTCCTTTGGCCTTACGCAATGGTCCAATTTAGCAACCCATACAGCAGGAAACACTCTTGATCTTGCCTTCACCAACCTCTGTACTGCCTCTAATCTCTTCAATATTAGAGGCAGTACAGAGGTTGGTGAAGGCAAGATCAAGAGTGTTTCCTGCTGTATGGGTTGCTAGATTGGTCTCTAATCTCTGCCATTCTGAAGAAGCCACTTATGGTGAAACGCGTTTATGGTTATTAATTCTGTATTTTACTGTGTATTTTAGATCAATAAAAGTTTTTTGGCTACTTTATTGTACCAATCCTCTTTTTATTGCACTCTTTATGCACTTTAAACAACTTTTTTTACCTATTCCTGACATTTTAACCTTTCCTGGTTACTTTTACTTCCACTGGCAATTTTAAAGTTCCAGTAATCCAAGAAATCCTAGGTGGGGATCATACCACCAGCGCCTATCCATAGAGCAGTACCTCTGCTCTATCTTTGTGAGTATTATTTTATTTTCTCTACTACTCTCTTAACCTATCACAACTGAGAGCACTATTGCTGCTTTTTATTCTTCTATATTGGAGCCTTGGATCACCAGACGGTGCTGACGGACGTATCGCCGCTACATATCCTATAAGCGGGGATTGTCATTGCCATCTCAAAAACATTGCGCGCATCCGACCCTACTTAACACCAGATGCGACTAAGGTGTTGGTCCAGTCCACTGTCCTTTCTCGCCTTGACCACTGTAATCCGCTTCTCAGTGGTCTTACGTGCTCCCAACTAGCGCCGTTACAGTCATCTTCCTGTCCGCCCACACCTCCCATGCCTCGCCCTTCTGTCAGTCCCTACATTGGCTTCCTATAAAATATAAAGCTCAATTTAAAATTCTGGTTCTTGCTTTCAAATCTCTACATAATGCTGCTCCCACCTATCTATCCTCCCTTATACACAAGTATGTCCCGTCTAGGCCCTTACGATCTGCTGAAGACTTACGTCTATCTTCTGTCCGTACTCCCACTTCTGATGCTCGCCTTCAAGATTTCTTGAGGGCTGCACCGTTCCAGTGGAACTCGCTTCCCTCCTCCGTTAGATGCTCACCCAGTCTCCACTACTTCAAAAAATCGTTAAAAACCCACTTCTTCATAAAAGCGTATCAATTAAACTGTTAATAGCTCCTGACTGATTCCTCTTCTGCAACTGTCACTAGTCTAATACTATCCTTACCTTTTTGTGTCATTTTACCCCACTCCCTCTAGCATGTAAGCTCATTGAGCAGGGCCCTCAACCCCTCTGTTCCAATGTGTCCAACTTGTCTGGTTACAACCACATGTCTGTTCGTCCACCCATTGTAAAGCGCTGCGGAATTTGACGGCGCTCTATAAATATCATAATAATAAGAAGAAGAAACCATCAACCACAGCTTTTATGAAATCGAGATTGAGCTCCATGACAATATTGATACCCACACTGATGTAACTCAGTGCTATTTTTGCAATGAGCAAAATGTATTCATTTCTCAAGCAAAATACATGGATACTGTGAGCAAATCTATTAATGTTAATAGATTTCTCATAGTTAAGGTATGGACAGTGTACTGCACAAGAAGCTAAACATTAAATTGGTCTGATTTATTTATTGTTGTGACACTTTTTATATAACTAATCTATCTTGAAATATAGTATACAAAAGGCTCACAATTTGGCATGTTTAGAGATTAATTTATACAGACTTATGTCTCATTTATTAATAAAGTGTTATTTGCTGAAGAATAGATAATGGGGCAAATTTTAGATTTTTTTGTGGCAACATAATATGCAATTATAAATTACACAGGTGGGTGGAATGAGGGGAGAAGGGAAAGAAAGAAAGAAAGAAAGAAAGAAGGAAAGAAAGAAAGAAAGAAAGAAAGAGCAGCAGTACTAAACGAGGCAAAAAACCTCTAAACCTAGAGACAATAATTTGTGTTTGAAAGGGATAGTACTGTGCTGTATTATAACTACATAATGCACTGTAATACAAATCACATATTAACCAGTGCCAACCAGTGTAATATATCTCATAAGTAATTGAATTAAATGACAATCACCAAATGTTATAAACAGATTTATTAATGAAGAATAAACAAAAAAATATATATGTCTTGGAATAGATAAAAATATTTTTTAAAAGTGGTAATCCATGGGTTATAAGACATCGTGTCTATAGATAGCGCAGTGCTATACATTTCAAACACATAATATGAAGTTATATATATTTTTCCCCACAATGTTTATTGTAATTAAAAACTAATCTTTTCAAAGCTTTATCGTCCGATTGGTATGTTTTGTTTTTTTGTTATGTATTACTAATAGGATAGTATTCTAGAAAAGCTTTTTTGTATGTATCCATATTTAGCAACCAACTGAAAGTCATAAAAAACATATAGTAGCTGATATCATTGTGTACTTTACATAGTGAAGCCAATACATATATTTGAATGTTCAATGCATTTGCATTTTGTTTGAATTTGATATTAAAATCGAGATGTCTAGAGAGCTTATGCATCTCAATATATATTCATTATATATTGCTAGCACAGGACTTCTTTTATTTACTTAGCAGCTGCAAGTGTTTGTGCAACTAAATAGCATCATTTTAGAGTACAAAACCATAAACAAAGCATTTCAGAGTGAATGCCATCATTAATTCCTCTAGCCTTTTCTGGTAGGTTTTATGATGTGTATCATGCACTATTGATAGTTACTCTTTGTATGGGCCAAAACTGTATTGGTGCTCTTCAAAGCCCTTAGCCAGCAGCAAATAATGAAAGAAAATATAGCTTTCCTGAAAAATAAAAAAAGAAGAATAATGGTACCATCTGGTAGATGACATGCTCTCACACGCATTTAAAAAAAGAATTCAGGATTCTAAAGGTTTGTCAAATAGCAATGCAATTATTATTTTGTATGGCCAAAAGCATGTATTAAACAGAACACATTTTTTTTCTTTAAATGCTCATAAAAATACTGTCTGGCTTCAAATCAGTCCACTGCAAATTATACTATTTGAATAATGATAGTAGTCTAGGTTATTTTTCCAACTGGTGATTAATTTGGGTTCATATATCTGAACTCCGAGTCCATAAATTACAACTGGAATATATTCATATTGTGTCTCAAATTAAGTTCAGAATATGCTGACACTAGACGCCAAATGAACAGTTTAGATTTTACTGAATCTGGCTCAAAATTACATTCTGGAAGGTCATTATGATTACTATAAACATGCAGTTTGTGACTGACATAATTTAGTATATAGTGTTATTATATGTTATATAATATAGTGTATTGTACAATTTAAAAAAAAAATCAACTCAATTTGTCACTGTTTGCATGATATGTTGAATTATGTTCTGTTGAAACAGTTGGCTTAAATGTGACGGTACATTTATAATAATCACGCTCAGAGGAATGATAAAAGTCTTTGCATATGATAATCCCAAATGAGCTTGAGTGAATTGTCTCTTGCTCATGAAATATAAACAGCAGGCCTCCAGTATAGAGCTAACTACAAAATACTAGACTGACACCATCATTAAAGTTTAACCACAACTGCAATTTTCTGTATAAGATCTTTCTTTGTGCTGTATTGTGTGAACTACGTGATTTAAGTTTAGTTTTAATGCAGTGATTTTTTTTCCCTAGAAAACTGTTCCATGCTGATTTAGTATTCCACACAATTTACTGATAACATGGCAAAGTCCTTGGGATAGACACTGATACCTTTGAATACTTTCTGGCTGTAAAATTGTACATCATTCTTTAAGCTCAGACATATTGTAAAGTGAGGACTAGACCATCAAGCTGAAAGTTGGGCAGACCCTAAGGCTGCAAGGGACAAATTGTAGACCAGAGTTCAACTTTCAGCACTTCAGATGTTGGGAACTACATGCTTGGCCGGCATTATCGCCATAAGAACATAAGATGTAGACAATAATATCTGGAGTGCCATAGGTTGCCTACAACTGTTTTAGGCCTTGATGTGATGCATATACACCACAGGCAGGGCCAGACTGGGAGAAAAATTTGGCCCAGGCATTTCTTTTTTTTAATTATTATTATTATTATTATTTGCAGGCAAAAAATGACAAACTTTATCACAGAACACATTTTTACCAGGAGAGAGAGGTGTGAGGCTAATGACTAACTGAGAGTTAGCCCATATTATCTTGTTACGGTCATTGGTTTCGGAAGCTGTCTCGGCGTATGATCAATACACAGAGACTTCCACCAGTGCCATGTCTGGGAAGCAAGCAGGAGGAGAGGTGATGTTATCTCACAGGTTACTAAACACGTTCACAGATTCCATGACCCTTCACAACACAAAACACAAGAGGCATTCATAAGCGGCGTGATAAGCACAAATTAGAGGCAAAAAAAAAGTAATTGGGGTCTCCTGGTCTGCTGCTGGTACGAGGACAGATTAGACTGGTCTTCAAAACTAAGAATCATCATCTGGCTACAAGACAGCAAACCACAAACTCATCATGGGGCGATCTTTTGGTGAAAATATGGCTTTTGCCACAATTTGTGCATCATTTAAACTGGGACTACAATTTTAATCTCAAACATAGCTCTTGGAACAAAGCCATCTCACCCCTTTCTTCTAGAGTACTAGAATACCTTGCCAATCAAATAATCTGCTAGGATAAGGATCGCTTAGATTTGCTTAAATTAAGGGTACTGATATTTACAATAATAATCGGTTACTGAGCGACAAAATAATTCACTGGCCATTGCAATGACATCTTGGTCAGTTTACCCCACACAAGGACTTAGCCTCATCTCTCTGACCTAAAAATAAATACATTTTTTATATATTCTTTGTCCTATTTAAGACCGAGTCAACTTCAGACAACTAAACCGCTACACACAACAGAGATGCAAGTTTCATTTCTTATTGACACTGAATGAAGGGAGGACGCGAGAGAGATTGGTCATTCGAACAGATACACACCTTTTCAGAAAGAGAAAGACTTGACATTTGGTTAGGGAAGAGCTGAGAAGTGCAAAGACCTTTATATACGATCTAATTTAGAATGTTTTAATGGTGTAACCTTACAAAACTCATAATGTACACAGCACATGCTAGTCTAGTTTATCACCTAATTGTGCACTTTCATGTTTTACAATGTAACTGCTCTATGCTACACTTTGGAGACGCAAGAGGCAGTAATACTTATTAGAAAGTGCACATTTAATAAGTTAAATATAAATATTATATTAAAGAATCCCCAACCCTTAGTTGCTGCGGATTCCATTTTGTGTGCATTTCCTGAGATTTAACATATGGTTGTAGACATGAAAATGCAAAATTTATCCTGTATGTGCTGTTTTGTTAGGAGGAAGGTTATAAAATTAAACTATTACTCTTATAGGTCCAGGCTGAATGAAATGCATTATGGGATACACCCCGGTGTTGCTTAAAGTCGGTGGCTTTTAGAGAAAGGCCAAGCCAGAATTTACTGTATCAAAGGGGCAAAATAAAATAAAATACATGGGATTATTGGCTTAACAGTGAACTCTGGAAGACGTGTCATCTTATCACAGTTCCCGATTTAGTAAATAAACCCCACAGACTACAAAGTGCAATAGAGTGTGAATGACATTGTCAGGTCCAGACTGCATAGTGACGTAAAGGAGCAAAAGGGACAAACACATACAACAAAATGCTAAATATGTTGCATGGAAGGTGCATTAAAAGGGGAAATCCAGGTGATATTACCCAGAAGGCATTGCATTAAAAGAGTGATCAAAACTACAAGACCCAAGATGCCCTGGAACCATTACAAAGGCAAGGGAAATAATGAATACACTGTCCACAACGCAGGCGTCAAGGTACGGGGGAATACAAAATGGCCAAAGGTACACCATGCCTTAATGTTAGGAAACCTCTTTGCAAGGCAATAAAATGAGATTTTGGTTTCAATGTGGGGAGTAGGGAGCATTTAAAGAGTTCCCATAATGCCTTGGGGACACAATGAATTTATTTAGTTTTCAGCAAGTGATGGATGAAAATGGAAGACATGGGGAATGTTACGGTTGGTAAACTCTTAATCGCAGGTGGAGGGGAGAAAGTATCTAACTGCTGCTTTCCTCGTCTGTTTTATTCAACCTCTTCAAAGAATCCAAGAGTTTCTGAGAGAGGGGTGAGAACATGAGTAGATCCTATTAGGACCTCCCACTTGCCGCTAGCCTGTGACACCTCGTATGCACAACGCATTTCGCTAAGGGCCACTCCTCCCAGGATGAAGATAATCAGGCGAGGTCCGGCACGATATTCCCCTGGAGCCTTGTTCTTATGCCAGTGTCCGTAGCGAGCACTTACAGCTGTTGTACTGAATGAAGCAGAGGAACGTGTAGAGATGTAAGGATAGTGCTTTGTATCCAACTTGTCCTCAATGGTGTCCTCCATGATATCTTTGACCACTGGGGTCCATCGAGACAACTGGTAGGTCTGTTCACTAATTCTCTCCTTGCAATCAGGTTTGCTTCTGCGTCGGAGTGTGGAATCAGTGATGATGGGGACACCTAAATGACCCATGTTGGTGATAATCTCGCTGTCTTCTGGTGGGGTCTGGGCATGCTGGATCAGCTTGTTTAGATTCTCCTCAGTGATGCCGTTCTTAAGGAAGATGTAAAAGAGAATGATGCGTATCTTATCGTAGGTGCTGACATTTCCATCCAATAAGATTGGAACAATTGCCCTCATAGGATCTTTAATCTTCTCCCCCTCAGCATCAGTGCCCATTGCCAAGTCCTGTTCCACGCGGCAGAGTTTGTCCACAGTGCCTTGGTAGTGCTTCATGCAGTCTTCCGCCAGGTGTAGGTGAGTGGAGTACTTGCTCAGCTCCTTCTGATATTGAGGCATTTTCTTCAGCATCTGGGAAAGATCCCTCATGGTGGCCTTGTCACCAGTGGTCATCCGTTTACTGGAAGAGAAGTCCTTTAGTGAGCGAGTAACTTCCTGGGACACTTTGGCAATGTGCTTGTGACGCAGGGTCATCCAGAGCTCATCATCTTCATCTAGAAGGACCTCCTTTACTCGATTTTCACCAATACCACTTGTTTCGTATTTGTAGACATAATTCTCTACAGGCAGGAGGTCATAGCTCATGGCCTGGAAGGTTAACTCGTGTAGGACTGGTGAAGATGGATCAAACCCACGGTCCAAAATGATAAGTTGTGAGCGAGCTTTGTCTGGACCCTCCCCCATGGTAGGGTCGTCAGCTTTGTAAGTGTCCAGTTTATCTTGGATCAGCTGCGCAAGCATTGCGTTATCCTTGTAATCTCCACGGTAGCGCACAGCTGGGTACTCTTTCAGAGTGGCACATAAAGTGGCAATTTGCTCAGCGAGGCGCTCCAGGATAGGGTTCTTCATCTGTGCCTTGTGGGGGCTGTAAAAACTGTGGAAGGAGTCTGGGTAATCCAGGGAGAACACCTGGGACTCAGAAGGGAGAAATGCGATGTTGATCTCAGTGAGGGTCTTGATAACTTTGGATGCCCGAGACTTGACCAGCTCATTAAACAAGGTGTCAGGGCAGGAGTCAGTAAAGAAGACGTGAGCTACTCTGTATTTAGCTGAAGGAGGATCTTTAAAATCATTGATGAGAGAGTGAACAGACTTCTCAGAAGGTGTGATCAGATACACCGCCTCCAGACTGGGGATTGGTTCCCTTCATTTGTTAATGTCTTTGACAATTGTAATCCCTTCTGTCATGATATCGGTCATCTTGCAGCATGAAGACAACATGCGCATACTGAGCTGATCCACCACCAGCACCTTCCATTCTCCTTTCTTCTTCACTTTGCGGATAACATCATGCATGATCTTTTCTCCCACCACTGCTTTGAGTCCACTGGGTGCCATCCTGGAGAGGTCCAACAGTCAGATCCGATCAGAGAGACAGGAGGAGAGGAGAGCGGCCGCCCGGGCATTTTTTCACCACAGCGGCCCACTAAGAAGGGGGCGGGGCAGAGGAGGTGTGTTTTGTCATCACAAATGACAAACATGCCCCCTCTCAAAGTGAGCATGTTGGTTCAATGCTCTTCCAGGGCAGACCATGCGCAGAGCTCTGCTGAAGAGCTCCAGCATGAGAAAAGCCCTGTATTTGTTCTGCACAGTGTAAGCAAATTTAATAACATGCTTGCACTGTGTTTCCTTGCAACTTGTCTCTGGTGTCTCTATAAATGGATACCAGGAGACAAAAATACCAGGAAAGAGTATTGTGCATGTGTTTGGAGCCTGCTTGTGGTATTGCGTGTGTGTAGAGTGAGCTGATTGTGGTGTGGTATTGTGTAATAAGGTTAGTCATGTTGTGTTTGTGGTGTAATGTGACGCATATGTGGCTAGGGGCTGTAGAGAATGTGTGTATAGGGGATATAGCAAGTGTGTGCATACAGGCTATAGTGTGTGTGTGTGTGTATATATAGGTGATGTAGTGTGTGTTTAGGGGTGTAGTATGAGTTTGCTTACAAGGAATATATATATATTTGGAAGTATTGTGTATGTGTGTGGTGCAGTGTGTTGGGGGGGTTCTGTGTGTATGTGAGGGGTGCAGTATGTGTGAGGGTGCAGTGTGTGATGTGTGTGCTGTGTGTGAGGGGCTAGAGTTCACTCTTGCGAGATCCGGTCGTTGCCATGGCAACGCGCCGGATCTTGCGAGAGGAACCCGGCGGAGCTTAAACTTAAAGCTCCGCCCGGTTCCTCTCGCAAGATCTGGTGCGTTGCCATGGCAACGACCGGATCTCGCGAGAGTGAACTCTAGCCCCTCAGGCTATGCGGGCTAGAGTTCACTCACCACGAGGACTACCAGGGAACACTGCCACCCCGCCACCCAGTCACCAGTGTGCCGGTCCCCCCCCCCGCCAGGCTAAAGGGAAGAAGGGAGGGGAGGGGGGTCCTCTCTCCTGGCTGTCTCCCTCCCTCTCTCCCCGCCGGCGGCCGCATTAGACAGCATGTGGGCCGGTGAGGGAGATCTTTGATCTCCCCATCGGCCCTTCATGAAAAACAGCGGGGTCGGCGGTTGGATAGCCCTGGCCCTGCATAGACCGGCAGGGGAGATCCTGGGACCTCCCCTGATAGCCTCAGCCCATGGACATCGCGGCCCCTGACCACAGGAGAATAAGAAGAAAAAGCAAATAGAGGTTTTCTTTTCTAAATCATTATATCTCCTAATCTTCTCGTGCACCTCTAGAGACTGACTGGGCAGGTGAGGAGCATGGAAGAAGGAATCTCAAATCCTTCTTTTATGTCTCAGAAGGCTGATTGAAAGAGGCAGATGAAACATCCCGCCCGTGATTGCATCATGAATACTCATGAACCCAAATACTGTATAGTGACTGATACATCCGTACACAGAAAAAAACATAGAACTCAGAAAAAAACACAGAAAATTATTCACAGATTTACAGTTGAGCCTTAATGAACTTTTTACAGTTGGAAAATAAATCACTCTCACAACATGAAAGACTGCAGAGTCTTTATTGCACATTTCTAATATCTTTCTAGTCAGCCTTGACTGTTGAGTAAACAGAAGAGCAAGGGATAATAATCTGAAAAGATCCAGTTAATGTCTCTTCCACAGGATAGTTGGCAGAGAAATTATTTTATGATAATGGCTTCTTCTCACACATACAGCTTTTTTTAGATCTGAGAGCTACCTCTGTTAAATCCGTGTTATGCATACTTTTTTTTTCACTGATACCACTCAGTATTTAGGTTAGCAAGAAGAAGATCCAGATAAATTCAAGTTTAGTTACGGTATATTTTAATTTTGTAAGCAATATCCATATTTTTTCCATGATAAAGCACATGATTTGGTAGTGCACATGCTTTGAGTTCTAAGGTTGTGCCATCTGTCCTACTGATGTTAAAATGCATCTCCTCATACTGCAGAACTCTCCGTGTAGTGCTCTGCAAATTATACTTTTATGCGGTTTATGTTTTTTTTAAGTGGTAGAGGAAAAACCTAGTTTTGCAGTGTAGTGCTCAGAGAATGAGCTTCTTCTTGGCAGACCGGTAAAGAATAAAGAAAATCCTGACACACTGCACCCCTCGCACACACTGCACCGCACAGCATCCCTCACACACAATCACTGCACCCCTCACACAGACACTGTTTCACATATGCACACACTGTACCCCTCACACACTGTTTGCACCCCTCATACACACACAATGTTCCACACATACACACACTGCACCACACACGCACCCTGCACCCCTCACATACACACAAACCTTGCCCATCACACACATTGAACCCCTAACACACACACTGCACTACTCACACACATATTGCACCACTCACACACACACTGCTCCTATCCCCTACAACAGGCCCTAACCCCTACTATAGCCATATCCTGGCAGGTAAGTTGTCACATGCCAGCCCCCAGAATTAATAGCAGGGGACTTTAGTGATAAAAAATTACAGCCAGTGTGTGACAAAGCAGGCACCTGCCATGCAGCAACAATGCACCAGCAGGAAGCTACCAAAAACAACAAGGCTTAGGCACTCACTAAAATAACAAAATAGAAGGAAGCAGTAAACCAGAAAGACTTCCCAATCCCTGCTAGTGGTGACCAAAGGTGAAAGAAAATGGTCTACCATTATTTTTCTTTCACTTTTGGTCACCAGTAAGAAGATACCTGCGCTGGCATGACATGGATGATCTGTGCACCCAGGGCTTGGTGCTGAAGTTCAGGTTCTAAGACTCTTTAGCCCAAATCTGTACAGTTGGAGGGTGCAGTGGAATATTAGTGTCTTTATGTTGAATTTTACAAAAGGCAGCTGCTCCTCAAAGCAGCCACTTGGTATAATTCACTATAAAAGTGCTCCACTAAGCTACTAAGGGGTGCTGCCCCCCAGATGACCATCAGAGGGGGTTCATGGTTACAGAACTTTGCTGCACACTCCTCTATTAATAAGGCAGAGTGATGGGACCACGTTGAATACCTGGCTGTACATCATCTGCTTTTTTCTGTTTATGCAGCAGGACACTGGCAAAACCAACCCCAAAATTTTTGTTCAAGTACATTCTAAAAAACAAAAAATGAAAGTATAGGTACACTGGAAACAGAGATGGGTTTGTTAGCTAATGAAGACCAGGAAAAAGCTGAAATTTTAAATAACTATTTTTTTTCAGTATATATTAATGAGGATCCTATGGCAAGAGATATGCAAATGATTGCTGCAAAAAACTTGCAGATTACTTGTGATTGGATAACTCGAGACAAGGTGCTACAGCTATTAAAGAAAATTAATGTAAATAAAGCTCTGGGGCCAGATGGTATTCATCCACAAGTACTTAAGGAGCTAAGTGGGGAAATAAGTGAGACTCTATATTTAATTTTTCAAGATTCTTTTTTTTCAGGTATTGTACCGGATGATTGGAGGAAGGCAGATGTTGTTCCTATATTTAAAACGGGTTCAAAATCCTTGCCTGGAAATTATAGACCTGTGAGCTTAACTTCTGTGACTGGGAAAATATTTGAAGGGCTATTAAGGGATAATATTCCGGAATTCATTGAGAAGAACTTTGTTATTAGCAATAATCAGCATGGTTTTATGAAACATAGGTCATGTCAAACTAACCTAATTGCATTCTATGAAGAAGTAAGTAGAAGTATAGATCAGGGTGTTGCAGTGGATGTGATCTACTTGGATTTTGCTAAGGCATTTGATACGGTTCCTCACAATAGGTTAGTCTTCAAACTAAAAGAAATTGGTCTAGATGAATATTCTTGTTGTTGGGTAGAACATTGGCTCAAGGATAGAGTACAACGAGTTGTCATTAATGGTAAATTTTCAGGCTGGACAAAAGTGCTAAGTGGTGTCCCTCAAGGTTCTGTTTTGAGACCGCTTTTATTTAACATATTTATAAATGATCTTGAAATAGGCATTGAAAGCCATGTATCAGTGTTTGCAGATGACACAAAACTTTGTAAAGTACTAAAATGTGAGCAGGATATTGATTTGTTCCAGAGGGATTTGGATAGATTTGGGGTCTGGGCACTAAAATGGCAGATTAAATTTAATGTAGAGAAATGCAAAGTTATGCACTTCGGGGTTAAGAATGCACAAGCAATTTACACGCTAAAGGCTTGTGAATTAGGGATATCCACACACGAGAAGGATTTGGGAATTGTTATAGACAACAAATTAAACAGCAATATGCAATGTCAATCTGCAGTTGGTAAGGCCAGTAAGGTTTTGTCATGTATAAATAGGGGCATAAATTCTCAGGATGAAAATATAATTTTGCCTCCTTATAAATCGTTGGTAAGATCACACCTTGAATATGCTGTGCAATTTTGGGCACCTGTTCTAAAGAAAGATATTATGACAATAGAAAAAGTGCAGAGACGAGCTACAACATTGATAAAAGGAATGGAGCATTTTAGTTACGAAAAAAGGTTTAAAAATGTAAATCTCTTTAGTTTGGAAAAACGGCGCTTGAGAGGGGATATGATAACATTATACAAGTATATTGGGGGCCAGTACAAACCTTTATCTGGAAATCTATTCATAAACAGGGCTATATATAGGACACAAGGCACACATTTAGGCTGGAAGAAAGGAGATTTCATCTAAGCTAAAGAAAATGTTTTTTTACAGTAAGAGCAATAAGGATATAGAATTCTCTGCCCGAAGATGTGGTTTTGTCATTGTCTATACCATGGGTCGTCAACCTGGTCCCAACCGCCCACTAGTGGGCGTTTCAGGATTCCAGGTGGGCGGTAGGGATTTTCTAATTTTGAGAAATTGGGTGGGCGGGCGTGTGTAAGCCAGCCCTGGCCCACGCGGCAAACCGTCGGGGTCGTATGTGGAGGGGTCCATCGGGTGGCCCATGCTGTTAGGGCCA